CTTAATTGTAATTTCATTCAGTAATGCAGGAAAAAATTTACATTTGTGATGTTGCAACCTATGAACGTACAAGTGAAACTACAACCAAATCAGAATGGCTATCATCTCTGTTGATGCACAAGAAATTAGATTTTTTTAGACTTTTCTTTTGAAAAATCAGCTCATCTAAGAAGTAAAATTCCTAGAGGCCAAAACCAGGAGTAGGAAACAGTATTTGTTATTGGGGAAATCCCTTTTCCTAATTGTATGTTTTAGCCCAATTTTTGGATGTGTTTAAATAATTTCATAAATAAAATATTAAATATGTACAGTAGAATCAATGATTACTTAATTTTTGAATGTATACTGATATTTGGAATGCCTAATAAAATCTAAGGAAAACATGACTTAATTTAATATTTATTTGCATGCTATTAAAAACAACCATGTGGCTGGCCAAATTATGAAATCTCCTGCGTTAGATATTTTTGATGACATTTTTGAAGACATTTTTTCATTGTCACATCAAAGAGCAAGGAGATGGAAGGTACCAGTGGCATCCGGCAAGTTCAGGACATCCAGGAATGTTGCTGAACATCTTACAATACACAGCAAGACCTGCAGCACCACCAGCACATACAGACATAACACAGAATTACTGGCTCCAAAAGTCAATAACATGGAGGCTGAGAAATGGACCACAGTTAACTTTCTAGATGGACCCCAAATCACCTTTTATCATCCAAGGGTGAAACTACAAGTGGAAAAAGGATGAAAGGACTTGAATATCTTCTCCTTCCTTGTAAGATTTGCAAATCTTCAAATTTCAACTAAGATATATGCAAAACCATGTAATGGAAGTCTGCCTCTTACTACTCTTTTTTTTTTCCAGTACATGCCCTGAAGTGTCTGATTTTTATCTCAGGTTTATATGCTTCTCCAAGCAAAGCTACATCTTAGATATAGAAATCTCTGTAATCAGTATACATTTTCTTAGTCCCTGCAATCAGTATAGATTTCATTCATGAGTTGTTAAGCTAGGGTTTGGAAAAACCTGGTGGGCCCCTAATGTTTCTCATGATGTCTGGATCATTGTCTCACTTTTGTCTCTCTACATTTTTTGATTATTGAAAATGGCCTCTGGTTATTGTAGCTGTATATGAATTCCAATGACTGCTCAGGAGACAGTAACCTTTCTGAACCAAAATTAATTCTTCATTTGTTTTCCTAATTTTTAAGTACCACACATCTAGTGGAGATGAAGTACTGAACATATTGCAATACAATGAGAAAAAGGGAAAACAAATTAGGTAGCAGTTTACTTTTTGATTATATAAGCTATTTTTTTCATTAAGCTGATTTTCTGGTTTACAAATCTTGCTACAGTGAGAGATACTGGACGATTTGGCCATGTCATTAAACTCACAGTGAAGACTATTGGATGTACCTGAGTTTTGAATGAATAAAATAATGAACTAAAAATGAATATTTTGTGTTTCTATTCCTTTTATCCAGTATTGATAAGAACTCATTTTAGAAAAGGCAAATAAGTACGAAAGTAGAAAAACTCATTTAATAGGCATCAGGAAAATCCTTAGAGAATGAACAATAAATCATTTAAGGCCTTGGATCCACTCTGGAAATACATTTTGTTAGAATCTCATTTTATTATAGTTTAATATTATTTTGTGTAGTGTTTGAGCTTTTTTTGTTCTTTTGGAGAAAAGGTTTACTTCAGCTCACAGTTGTAGAAGTTGCAGTCCATAATCATTTGGCTCCAAGGCAGGGTGGCATGGTGGAGGGCCATTACAGAGGAGACACAGTTCCTGGTGGCAGAAGGCAGCAAACACAGCAAGCAGCAAGGGACAAGTAGTGACCACAGCAGCCCTCTTCTGTCCCCCATATTCTATCCAGGCAACCTGCTCTTTAATCTTAGCATTGCATAATGAGTCAATGCCAGCATCACATTCTTAATCCCAGAATCACATACTATAGATCCAACCACCACTGAAAAGCTCCACCTACAATCATATGAAGCTTTGGAGGTACGTCTAGATACAAGCCATAACAGTATCTCATGTTGAAATGAGTATTTTGGACATATTGAGTTAAACATATCCTTTTAACATACTTTACACCCATTTTTGTTTAATGTGGCTGCTAAAAAAACACTTAAAATTACAGTTTCTGTTTGAGAACAAGAATTCAGATAATTTCTACTTATCTTGGGGCTCCTAAGAGAAATTTTAAGGTTTTAAAAACATCAACATGCTACATTCAATCCTTCTTACTGTCTTAATTTAATAAATAAAGGCCAGGCATGGTGGTGCATGCCCGTAACCCCAGGGCTTGGGAGGCTGAGGCAGGAGGATTGTTGTGAGTTTCAGACCAGCCTGGGCTACAAAGTGAGCTCAAGGCCACCCTGAACTGCATAGTGAGACCCTGTCTTAAAAAGACAAACAAACAAACACACACACAAAAAAAAAACAAAAAAAACCCCCAACTTAGTAAATAAAAATCTCGGGCCAGGGGTATAGCTTAGTGGTGCAGCGCTTGTCTGGCAAGCACAAGGTCCTGAGTTTGATTCCTGGTAACTAAATAAATAAGTAAGTAAGTCAGTAAGTAAGTAAATGAATAAATAAATATCTTGATTTCCATTTAGAGAAAGCACTTTATATAGCAAAGTTTCATGGCCACCTAGTAATCCTACAGAATTAGAGCATCCTGTGCATGATAAGCTAACTATGGCAAGGCATGATTGATTTGATAATCAGATATTTTAAGCAGGTCCATAAATTTCTGGGGCCACTTCAGGTAGGGTAAAGATAGTACATGTGTTAATCAGGAATAGAGTTGATCCAGAGATTTCATTCTGGTGTGGCATGAAAGTCTTGGGACGGTAGTGTCTGGGTATCTCTTGATTGTGATCTTTTGACGACAGTTGTGGGTACCATAGTAGATGGGAACACACAGAAACGAATGAATGTCCTTACATCTCTACTGCAAAGACTCTATGTCCCATCACTATGGTAGGTTATGGGCCACAAAGCTCCCTGGAGAAATATATTTGAGATTTATAAAGGCAAAACCAACTAATCTGACTGATTGTCAACCATAACAAAAGAAATCTCTTCTTCAAGCACGTAAGTAAAAATTAAGCCCTTAGTTATTAAAAAAAGATTTTATCTTCTTTTAAACTTTTAAACTTTCCACTATTAAGAGAAAATTTTCTTTGCAAGTGAAGCTGTTTAGCTATTTAGACTGCAAAAACTGGAAAGCACCAGTATGTCAAAAGCACCATTAGTGAATACCTTCTGCGGACAGAGGAGTCAGGTAAATGTTGATGAAAGTATAAAGGGAGCAAACAATACCTATGCTACATATTTTATTGGGAACTTGAAGGAGGGATTTCTTTATATGCAGTTTGCTTGCACATTGAGAACTGAAAACAAGAATAGTCAGTCAAATGTCAACTCTTAATCAGAAGTAAGGAGGCTTTTTTGGCCTTGTTATAGTTTTTATGTCTAGATGTCCACCCAAAGCATTCATTGGCTCATAGGTGGGGCTTTTGAAAGGTGACTGAATGACAGGGGTGCTATACTAAATGTGATGTTAGGATGTTGAGTCCACTAGAAAAGGTGGGTAGATGGGGTCATGGCTTATAAGCATGTACATTCCTCTACACTTCCCCCCTTTGCTGTCTGCTTCCTGGCTGCCATGACGTGAGCAGCTTTGCTCTGCCAATCCTTTCCACCATCCCTTTATGTCTTGGAGATGGTCAAGTACAGACTAAATATGTGAGCCAAAATAAACCTCTCCTCATTTAAACTGTGGATGTCCAGTATTGTGTCCCAGTGATGAGAAAGTGACTAAGACAGGCCCTATACTTAAATGGAAACTTTACATAAAAGCAGGGATGTGACCTTTTCCCAATGAAGAATAGAGCCACAGGCTAAGAACAGAGACACAGGCTCTGTGACGTTCAGGTAACCAACCTGCCATGTTCAGCAGTCTACAGGGACAGACAGGGTCTTACTCTACCAACACTTTCAGCTGTATCTATCATTTGGTATCACTTACTTGGGCCGGATTAAACAGAAAGTAACCTTTCATATTTAGTGAAAATCTGTGTAAGAGATGTTGGTATTCTGAAAATGAGGCACAATCTAGCCACATATCACAATATTGTCACAATGATTCATTTATTATTTTTGTTTTCTGAGATTCAATTTTATCTTAACCAAGAAACTGTCACATATATCTGACCAAATAACATTATTTAAAGTAATTAAGTCATATGGGTTGGCTCATGAGACAAACAGGTAGCCATTTAAAAAATATACAGAACAGAATAAAAATAAATAATCTTTTTCAAATAGGAAGGGGAACAAGAGATGAAGCTGGAGAGAGGCCACAAAGGGAAGAGGGACTTACATAAAGAGAAAATCAAAGAAAAAAATGGAAATGTTGTCCCCCCATAGAGCTTCTCCAAATGTTAAGGAGGCCAAGAATTGGAGGGAGCAGTGAGGGGTGGGAAGGGAAGGGAATAAAAAAGAATTAGGATGTGTTATGTACATAAGTGTAATCACTATCTACAGCACATATACTGACAAAAAAATTTCAATACACTAACAAGCTGGGGGTGGTGGTGCACATGTGTAATCCTATCACTCTGGGAGGCTGAGGCAGAAGGATCACATGTTCAAACTAAGCCTGGACTTAGCAAGACCCTGCCTCAAAATAAAAAAAGCACTGGGGATATAACTCAGTGCAAAGGCCCTGGGCTGAATCTCCAGCAGGGATGGAAGGTGGGGAAGGGATGCAAAGAATGAATGATTTAGTCTAGTTTCCCTTCCCTTGGATGTGAGTTCTAGTTCTACTGCTGAGAAGTTAAGAGAAGACCCTTTGGGAATAGTCACAGAAGGGCTAGTCAATGGAAATCGGTGCTGGAGACAATGAGAGAGCAGATTATTAAATGCATGCTGTTTGAATAAATACGCCAACAAAATTATATACACAGGTTAAGAAAAGGATTCATGACTTTTTATTGTCAAAACTTGTAGTTTATTTTTCTTGAATATTTACTTTTATGATTTTTATCACTATCCACACTATGGTTTTTAAAGAAAGCTGAACCACTTGGTGGTTCTAGTCCCCATATAATAATCATCCCTTCAGTCTTAAGAGTTCCTTATCCCTTGTTACCGTACCTTTGTAATGGCTTATATAACGTGAGGACCTTGGAAAATCAACACTTCCTGTGAACTGAACAAATTATTTGAGCAGTGTCCAATCCAGCAGGATTAGGCAGGAGAAACTAGTGGGAGGCAAGAATGTTAAAATCGCCTGGACCGAGATATAGTTGTGTATATGTCTGAGAGATCATACTGACTCACTGTAAGAGTGTGCAGATTGACCAGCGTGAGGTAGGGCTACTCACAGGATCATGTGATTGTGGTAAGGGAGACAGTATATAACATTCATAGCTTAAACAACTCTTTTCTTGAAAATGGCCTATATTTTAAAAAATAAAAACCTAAGTTCTTTTTATTTTTTTAACATATAAAGACTCAAGTCCCTAATATATTACTTTGCCTGGTTTGGAAGGTAAGCAATCAGCTAAGATAATGTAGAGAAGACAGCTGAACTGCACCAGTGTATTTAAGACTTTTAAATTAAATTGAGTTACCTCACCTTACAAAAATACATGTCAGTATACTAAATACTCAACAAAGATCCAGGATTTGGGATATTTAAAAATACATTTCTCTTGGATCAGCACCAAAAATATCTTTAGTTTCTGTATTACCCGTGTCAAGTTTGTAAGTGTAGGTAAGTTAAAATTACTTCTGATAAAAATCACAAACTCCACCAAAATTGTTAAAGATATATCCAAGCAACTCTCAAATACATTTTGACATCAAGGTCAGGCAATTCACTTGAAGAACATAATGAGTAGCACTGAGTTTCTATAGTTAGACATTTGATGTCAATTTTGTATTATGGCAATATTTTATATGTCACAAAAAGGAGGCACTGGTACTTAGAAATTTAAGAAAATTATTAGAACCATTAAGACTGAGGTGAAGAATTTGTACAGTCTTCCACAATTTCAAAGAGGTAGTGATAGATACTTGTCCTCCTGGCAATATCAAATGCAGTTTCTTCCAAATTGTTCTTCAGACTTGGTTTGATGTAACGGTTCATCAGGAGGAGTTCCAGGGTATCTTTGCTGTCTCTGTTCCCAGCAGCCAGATGCAAAGGGGTTAAGCGGCCTTTTGTTTGAGCATTGATATCTGCATCATGCTGAAGTAAGAAAGAAGCCACTCTGGTATTATTCCACTGACAAGCACTGTGCAGAGGTGTCCAGCCATCCACAGTCACTGCATGCACATCTGCCCCCTGTGTGACCAGCTCTTGGACGATATCTAAGTGTCCACTGTAGGCTGCTCGATGAAGGGGCGTATACTCATCTTCATCTCTGGTGTTCACATGAGTGGCCTTTTCAGAAAGTAGTCTCCGCACTGTAGTCAGCTGAGAGGAAAAAGAAGTCTTATAAACACCCATCACAAAGCAAAATAATAAAGAAGCTTAAGCTACCCAGGTTTTTTCTTTTTTTTTTTTACTAGTACATGTTTACATTCCTTGTGGGGAATTGGTACATGCACATAACACATTTTAATTCTTTTTTTTCCGTCCCATTTCCCAGTAGCTTTATATAAATACTTCTTAGTGGATGATTTTAGAATGAAAATAAATCATTTTTTTGAGGGGGATAACTGATTTACTAATGAACAAGTTAGTAGTAACTATATTCACTTATTTTTAAGAATGTGATTCTCTGAATATCAAACCATACATTTATTCCTGGTCCAGTTGAGGCTTATTGCACAGAAGTTTTGGCCCTACATAAATTATATATATATATATATTTATTTATACACACATATATACATATATAATTGTATTTAATAGCTTGCATTTCATCTGTAAAGAAAATGTAACTGACTATAGGATTATCATACCAATATATGTAGTACCTAAAATTTCTTTTAACATAAGAATAAAATGGAGACAAGAAAATCCCTAGATTAAAGGGCTCAGCTGTTTCTCAATACAACTTTAGAAACATGCAACCAGGCAATAATTTTGTTTCCTCTATGGATCTCTCCTGGGTTAAAATCCTATTAAAAAATGCAACACCTTTTTAGTTATTTGTGTAGTTTATTAACGCAGATATGGGAGTACTTGGAAAAATGAAGTGAAAGTAGCCAAATGGAAAGAGTAGGGTTTTGGTGTTAATTCTATGTGAATGATTTGGGATAAATTAGTATTATTATTCTTTTTTTGTGTGTATGTGGGTACTGGTAATTGAAGTTAGGACCTGTGCTTTGCTAGGCAGGCACTTGTACCGCTGAACCTTATCCTCAGCCCAATATTGATATTCTTAAGGATTAAATAAAACAACACAGTAAGGCTCCTAGTTGGTATTTAATAAGTGTTAATTTCCATCCTATGTATCTTAAGTTATACTTACCTGCAGGAGGATCCTCATAATATAAATGATTTAACTATATAAATGATGGCTTGCTTTCTTTAACTAGCTACTCTCAAATCTCCAAATAATACATGACAGTTTATAATCTAGTATGTACTTTTATGTACATACTTCATTTGATTCTCACAATTCTGTACAAAAGAAACACATATTATAGCCATTTAAACAAATAAGAAACCAGAGGCCCCTAAATTGTGGAATTTGCCCAGGGATACAGATGGAACAGATCTGGTTGAAGAGGAAGTCTTCTGGCTCCAAACCCATTATTTTTCATACTACATTATAATACCCCCCTTTCTTTTTACCCGATTTTTTTCAGCAGCCCAAAGAAGCAGTTTGCTTGGATCTTTTTCCATTTTTTTTTCTTGCAATTGATACCATTCTTCATCTTTTTCATATTGCTCCTCCTTGTCTTCATCAGAATTGCCTACCCAGAGGCTTTGAGTGCCAGTGGGAATAAGGTGTCCATGTGTTTCCAACAACTCAAGTTGGTTAAAGTGTTCAGAAAAGTCTAATAAATTCTCTGGGTCTAGTTTTCCATTATCATTTACTTTCTCTTTTTCCATTTTTACAACTATTCTACATAAGTAACATTTCAGATACTAAGAGTATAATCTTTGTCAAGATGAGTTATGTCAGCTTGATTTTATTCATCAAGATCTGAAAACACAAACACAAAATTAGAAAAACAGTAACTGAGACCGTTAATAACACAGAGAATAGTTGCGTACATATGCAGCAACAGACCATATCTAAACTCTTTGAGGGCTTTTTCATGATATCCATTAAATATACTGAAAGTTAGAGCTGACAGAGTTCAGTTATCTTTGATCTTTAATGGTCTAGCACATCTTATTTTTTGCTGTTTTCTTCTACTAAGTCAATGGCTACAGCTATTATTTTGAATATAATAATTGAATATTTTGGCTTAGGTATTACGATACTATGTTAAGAATGATGAACACTTGAACTTTTTAAAGTATAAAGACAACAAATACAGGTATATTAAAGATTTTTATAAACATACTATATATATCAGAAACAAATATTTCTAGTTTCTCAAAAGCAACTTTAAAGGATTCTTGGCAATGAAATAGCCCCGAAAACAGTAGTGGCAACTCTATGGTATGTGTATTACTGTGTTTTTCTTTTAAGATAAAAGATGCTAATGTATGAGTTGTCTTTTCTAAACAATAACCTCAGCATTTAGGTTTAAATGCAGTGTTGGTACTTTGCAATAAATAAATGGGTTCTGGTTTGCAGTTTGGGCAGTCTCTAGAAGGTCTGCCATCACTGCCCTAAAAGGATATCTGTCCAATCTCTTACTAAATGCAATATCTTTATTACAACACCAGTAATTATTATCCTATTTCTACTTCAATAATTTCAAGTCTGGGAAAACTTGAAGCTTGAAAATACAGTCTTTTTCACTGGCAGGCAACCATAGCTCTTTGTTTTAAACTGAATCTTGGCTGTCATTCACTGCACTCAACAAGTATGAAAAGAATGGCTGTGTACCAGGATTTGATAATGAACAGACCCAGTCTGTACCTCAAGAAGCTTACTGTCTGGTGGAGGTAATTGTGAAGACAATATACTAAGTACTATGACTGGACCATATACACATACTATGAGCATATAAGGGGGCTATGAGTCAGCCATCTCAAAGGATTAAAGAAGGCTTTCTGAAGGAAGTAATGCTTATTTTATTAGGCTGCCATATTATTCTATTTTGGGGGGGACTGTGTAGTTCACACTTGCCTTGTGCCATATTAATTTATAAACTAGTTTCAGTTTAAGAGTTATCCAGCATATACACAATCAACTAAAAAATGAGAATCATAATCATTTTCTAAAAACAGCACTTCCCAGCCTCCAAGTTATATTTGTTGAAATCTTACCAGTTTTTCAAAATTATTTTCAGATGTCATCTCTTTCATTCTTTTTCCATCCTTGATCTTTTTGATGTTGATTTTTTTCATTCATTAGATTTTTTTTCCTGTTTTTGGTGCTACAATTTGTCTTATTTCATTAACTTTGTTTCAGTTTTAGCATCTTAAAAGATTATAAACTTAAGGATAGGGACCAAATTTAATTTATATGCAGGTCCCATTTGCATATAGCAGGCATTAAGAAATATGTGTACGGTTAAATTTAATTAAAGCCCTATCTCTTCCAGTACCAGGAATAGAACTCACGACCTTGCGCTTACCAGGCAGGCGCTTTTCCCGCTGAGCTAAATCCCCAGCCCCAAAGCCCTATCTCTTGATTTTGCCTGGACTGAATTCTGAAATGATCCAGAATTAGTTACATCCCTAAGATACTGAGTTTGTTCTATTTAATTTCACGGGTCTAATAGTATACAATCTTCATGTGTTATTACATTTTATTACTAGTGGCAAGAGCACCAGATTCAAATTTAAATCTACCATTCATGTCTAGTAATTTCTCTGGGCCTATAACGTCACTGCAAACTATAAAGCTCACATTAAAGAATGTCTAAGGCCTATCTAGCTTTTCAGCCTTGAGAGACCCGCGTAAGAACTGCTTTTTGTTTCATTAACTCTCTTGAATCTTCCACTTTTTCCATTATTCTCAAACTATTTTTGAATCTTGCAACACAAAAGTGATCATACATCAATTCATTAAAAATTTAGATGCCAATAAATAATCTAAGGTTTACTTGTTATTATATATAGTGACATTATGGCACAGATTTTATCCTCAACATTTTCATAAAAACTCCCTGTGTATAAATTCTGAATTTACAGTTCGAGATATAATTAGTTACATAAAAAATTTTCTTGGCGTATTTAGTTGAAAAAGTCAAACCTAGATGCATCTCGATTCAAGATGTAAAGTAAAACAAGATTCTTATTTAACGAAAACGCATCAAGAAGTAGTGTTTTCTAACTTAAAAAGTATCGTCCATTTTGAGAGAGATCCGATCTCTCCCAGTGCCTCAAAAATAGTTCCGTGATAGATGGGGCTATAAACCCATTTTACAGGTGAATGTGCTGCGGTCTGGATAGAGTAAAACAATTTGCCACAGACCAAGAACCATTAAACGGAATTGAAAGACTAGATCTTCTAATTAAAACGTGCCACATTCTTTTTTATTGCACTAATCCGGGATCCAAGAGCGACAATAAAGGAAACAGGAAATAAAGGGTTTGAGGAGTGGGAATGAGGGCCGCCAGTCCAGCTCTGAGGCTGGTCACTCACAGGCCAGGGAATAGCGTCTGCGGCCTTCCAAACAGCCCAGGTTGAGGAAGCCGCCTCCGTCCTACCTAGTATCATCCACGCCGCCAGACCTTCAGGGATGGGCCAGGGTCGAAAGGCGACCGCGTCTACTGGACCAGTTCTTAATCGGACCGAGCACACCAGGAAAAGCCTGGTCCGTGACAGAGACGGGATACCTACCGCACAAAGAAGCAAACCACGGTCGCGAGTCTCGCTTCCGGGTCTATCCCCTGGTTGCTCAGGATTGGCTCCTTAACGGGGGGCGGGGCCTCGCTGCTGCTGTCCCAGGCGCCTCACCACACCCAGCAGCCAATGAGAGTCGAGAAGGACTTGAGGCTTAGTATCGCATCAGGAGGTATCGCGAGACACTTATTTTCCCGCGCTCTATTCCGGTTCTTGGTCCCGCGGCTTCTCTGGGCGCGCAGCTGGGTCCTTTCGCGAGTCCCGCCCCTCTTGTAGGACGGAATCCTCCCTCCGAGGGAGGTGAGGCTTCAGGA